TATTAAAACGTCTGTTATTTGAAGGAGTAATTATCGAGAGTGCAGAAAGAACTAAAAGAAAGAAAAGCCCCTTTTTCGAAGGAGGATGAAATTCGATTATTAGAAGCTATATATGAAGAGTGGAAAATTATCGAAAATAAGGAAACAAACAAATTAACGAATGCAGACAAGGTTTGTAATTTACTGTGCACATCTAGCAAATCTATAACTTCCTATAACCGGATCGGAAATATTAACGTTTCTGTAAGATTTTCTGTAAGCTAGAGGAAGAGGAATTGCAAATTATCTATGGGCAGCTATAGGTTTATAGAAAGTTATAGATTTGTGCACAGAATTGACGCGTTAATCTAATTTGGATTTATCCTATGCATGAAATAATTTAAGGAGAAGGCTTGGGAACGAGTAGCATTAGCCTATAATGCTGCTAGAACGCTTGTTAGAATTGTTGTTCAGTTGAAGCAGAAATTTGATAATTTAAAAACAAAAACCAGGAAGCTTGTAGCTGCAGAACGCACATATATAAAAGGAACGGGCGGTGGCCCCTCTTTCACTACTACCGATCCTGTCATTGAATTAATATTGAAAATAATTAAGATGTTATGTTCCTCGTATATTATTTTGTAAAGTTTGCTAGAATTTCATTTTGGCTGGTATTGTAGGATATGGGGGGTATCAGGAGTAATCGATAATAATGTAAATAATGGCACTTTAAACAACAATATTGACAATAAAAATATGATTATAAAAAAAGCGGAGTTCCAGGAGGCTCCATTTGAAAGAATTAATGCCGATGAAGTAGCTCCTTTGTCCTCTACAGGCTCTACACGTATAAAACAGCAAAAACCTTTGACAGTGAGTATCACCAAACCATACATCAAACCATTGTCCTTACATGGGTGCAATTTGCAGAACATATCTAATCAACAAACAGAAGAGCATTCATGGAGCTCATATGCACCACAAAAGCTGAAAGAGCCGGTGTCCAAAAAGTTAATACCTACTGCTATAAATCCTCTTGCAATAGCTAAAGCTAAGTACTATAATAATAAAGAATTGTAAAAAGAAGCCGAACTTAGAGAATGTCAAAACAGAAGAGAAGAAGAATGTCACGGCAGGAAACTAATTCTGCTAAATCTAGAAATAGAGTTGAAGAGAGAAGAACTGACAAAATCACAGGGTGGTCATAGATATTAAAAAAAAACAAATACGTAAATAATTAAATAAATATATATTTATCGCCAACCGTCAGTAGAACTATACATTAACATTACCATACCGATTTCCGGAAGTAAAGAATTACTTTATTTCACTGACTTTACCTGCCGCATGCGGCAGGTAAAATACTTTATCTGCCGCAAATATTTTTGAGGAGTTCTATTAAGGAATATGTGCTCAATAAAACAAAAATCGCGAAGACGGTTTTAGGCAACAGTCAAATCATATTGACACTATATTTATTACCAATGATAATTCTAATAAAGGACCAAGTGCGCGTTCACATTGACACTGTTCGAGCGGTGAACGTTGCGCGATGCCGCTGTAGTGATGCCCAAAAATAATTTTAACATTACATTTCAAATGAACAAGTTCACACTGAGGCGGCGTGCCGCGCGGTGTTAACATGTTCATTTGGAATATAATGTTAAAACTATTTTTGGGCATCGCTACAGCGGCATCGCGCAACGCTCACCGCTCGAGCGGTGTCAATGTGAACGCGCACTTGCGCATTGTTAACATATTGAAACTCCTCGACTTCAAAAATTAATTGATGTCATACGACAGGGTGTACATTCACTTTGAATATAACAAACAATAAGTAGATGTGTTCTGTGTTTGCTCTTATAATAAAATGTGTGAAGTTATAATAGAGAGTTTTCGTTGCCTTTTAAAAGCGATTCCGATAGCCGCTATTTGACAAATTTGACATTTAAGCTATCATTTATCGTTATCGTTACCGATAAGTGCCGGGAGCTTACGGACGGAAGACAAAACCATAGCGAAAACGAAAAGCATGCGTATTTCCTATGTTTTTGTTGTGGTTTGTTTTTGTTTTTAAATGTTTTTGGTTTTCGAAATAGATTCAATACTAAATTCCCTCAAAAGATTGAAAAATCGTTTCACGGATGAGGACAATATTATTTATTATTTTATGTGCAATCGAGTGTTCCATCCTGAAAATCTCGCACTATTTTTTATAATTCTGGCCACATAATTTTTTAAGTACAAGCCCTGATGAAGCCCTAAACTTTTGGGCGAAACGTTGGCAAAGACTTGACAGGCCTATTATTTCTTGTCCTAACCGACGAATTACCCCCCTTCATTGGATATAGGACATGAACTTCTCTTTATCATTTACTATTTTATTAGAAGAAATATTGGCCAACAACCCATATGACGATGCATCTATATAGGCTTTTGTAGTAGCCAATTTTGTAAATCCCACAGGGAAAATTAATGAATTTTGGGTACTAGGAAATTAAAACAAAGTACAAAACGTATATATAAACACAATGATAAACACAAACCATTAAAGAAAGGTTATGTTTGTCGAATTCGACTTAACGTTAACGTTAAGCGGATTGAACGAAAACTATTTTTACGATCTGTCAAATAGCGACTTTGTTTTCGTATTCGTTATGGTTAACCGTTCGAATTTGGCAATACAACGAAAACTCTCTAATATATTCATTTTTTACAGTTATCAATTTTTACGGTTTGCGATAAAGTTTTGTATGCATCATGTCAGTAAAGTGTCTTTATCGAACTCGCCCTCTTACTCGCCTCGCTCGCTTCGCTCGCTCGACTCATAATCTCAGACTTGTTCGATAAAGTATCACTTTACTGCCTTGGTACATAAATATCTAATTTTCTACTGACGTTTCATAATACTAAAATCTGTTTCATAATGAATTTCATTATGATTTAGATTTTCATTATGATACAGATTTTTCAGCCACTGGAATCGAGTATTTTGAAAATGAACAATGTTTATATAAAAATAACAGACTTGCTTTGGAATTTTGGATTGTTTCTATTAGTATTTACCAGAAGAACACAAAACTACTAAATCCGGTGCGGAATTTATGCCCAAATGACGTCTAGATCTTAATTTTTGAAATTGTCAAGTTGTCAACAATTGTCACCAGAAATTTACTATTCTTATAAAATAAATATGTTTTTCGTTTATTAATGCAAGTAGAAAAAATAGTGTATGCAACATGGCCACTAATACAGTCGCATGTTATATACGAAACTCGCCTGCGGCTCGTTTCGTATCCTACAACATACATGCTCGTGTATTAATGGCTATCATTACATGATCATTGCATAATATACTATTTCAAAATCCTTTTAAATGAAATCAGTAAAAAAATTAAACAATATACCAGATATTCACGTTTTTTTTGCCTTGGCCATATTTTATGAATGCATTGGATAGGGTATATGGAGTTTCTATCTCCTTTTTTTTTTTTTTTTTTTTCAAGCCAACACTGTTCAACCTTATAACCCTGCTTTTTTCAAAATAAACGATCTGCTTTGTCAATTGTTGAAAGTTCTTCTGCACAAGCATAACATTTGAATTCTTTTCGACTTTGACTTGCTAATGCCACTGCCTCTTTTTCAATCTGCTGTTTTTCCTCTTCTATGAGTAACTCGGATGTTACCTCTGTCAAGGTCTGGTGAGTAGTGAGTTTTGATTCCCCAGCACTTACAAAATGTTTCAGGTTCTCTGGTAATGACATAGGGATTTAAGTAACTACCATTTTGTAACTTAATTCTTCTCCAAGGTTCCTCCAGTTGGGAAATAAATTCAGTCACTGTTGCATTCGTGTATCCTAAACTAAAGAACCTCTGTTGCAACAAGTGCACACTAACTTGAGATTTATTTGTACTCATAAATAGACATTTGCTTTTCCCACATTTCCGCTGCTGTCTGGCCTGAAATAATATGAGATTTTTTCTCTATTCTCACAGCGATAATTTTTTAGGCCCTTGCATCTTTTCAGTTCCACTCACCATTGTCTGCAATTGACGTGAAGTTTATGCATGTCACATTTAGACAACTGTCAGAATCTGTTAATAGATTTTTGGTTCATATTGAGTTTGTTTGCTTAGTGAAGGTTTAGTTCTATTGTATTATTGTATTATTCTATCATTATAGTTGTAGAACTTCACTAAGCAAACAAACTCAATATGAACCAAAAAGCAAAAACAGTTTCTGACTTGACAGTTGTCAAAATGTGACATGCATGAACTTTGTTTAATGTTTTATCACCAATAAACTATCTTGAAACAAAAAAGAATCAGATTAGAGTATTTTTTTCTACTAAAACAAATGACAGGTTTTCACAGTTCTATCATTTTTTTTTCAATTTTTGAATTCAGAATTTACATACAAGTTAAAAGTGTCAATTGACATCATGAAATATTGAAAACTGAAAAAGATGAGTGCCGCCGTTTGACAGGGTTTTGGCAGGTGTCAAAATGGTTGACATTTTTCGACTTAACTTGGCCGACTTAGTAGAAATAGATTTTTTGTTCATCAAAATCTGCCATAATTACTCTGTTTTTGGATATAAGATTCCAATATTTGACAGCTAACCACGCCTCACCTGTCATATATACAGGGTTGTGCCCATGGTAAAAAATGTTGCTTACGGCATCCCCAATAACATATTTAAATTTCATCCAAATATCACGGGTAACCAATTTCCATTTAAATATTGCGGGGTCCTTTTCTTTGATGGACCAGCTTCTTGAATCTGAAATTATCCAACAATAAAAGACAGGAATAAAAAGACAGGAATAAAGATAATATTTATATCATTTACCTATAAAATAAAATATGTAATATAACAAATACATGATATATTATGATTTTTAAAGGAGACACAAAGACACATAGGAGATTTGTGAATAATTTATTTAAAAAATCTCATCTGTTGCTTATTAAGAAGCTCAATTTGGCGCCTTAAGCGTATTTTGTCGCCTGGGATATTTTACGTTATCAAAATAATTTCTTCTGCGGTTAATTGGTTTACAATTTCCATATCATTTATTTTGTTTTCTAAAAAAAAATAGTTAAATAGGTAAAATAATTCAAAATCATGAAAAAACTACGGTTGGTTTTAGTAATAAAAATAACTATATATGTACCTACATCAGGTTTGCAAAAACAAAACAACAGTTAATTATTGATAGAATTAAAATAGACAATTTAAAAGGGGCGTCAGATAAGAGCCAGCATGCCATCTTTTGGGCTTTATGACATACATTACATATTTTTTAATCACATGTGTTCAAATTCTCTGTAAGTGATTGACTTATTTACAAGTAGATGGCGACATCTTCAATATCAATTCGTTTATTGTCTGGCTAGCCAAACGGCGAACTCCAAAAGAATTTGCTGCTTTGCCAAACTTGACGGAAATAATAATAAACAAGTTGGTGACATATTTTTTTTTGCTATATGGGCAGGTATAATATTTTGAAATAGAAAAAAATCCGGCAACATTGCGAAACGATGGATGTGGAGAGGCGTGATTATTCAGAGGCATCATTCTATTGGTTAGAGTTTGAACGACAGCACGCAGTGGCGTGATTATCGGCGAAACTAGAGTTTTTTTTTCTAATAATTTTATTGGTTTATTTCCTTAGTGTTTTCGGTGCCACTGAACTCAAAGACATGGCTGTCATCAGGCGGTGTCAGTTGAGGTGTCAGTGAATATTTTTAGGTCACGCCCCACTTTTCTTCCCCCTTTCGTCTCTACCAAGTTACCACTTGCCAGACTATACACAGTAATTTAAAGTGGACTAAATAATTTTATTCAGATACAAATGAAATAATAGTATTTCACATTTTTAGCTAGGTAAAACAGTTTTTACTGGCGTTTAAAAGAAGTGACTTCCCTTCCCGAACTCAGCGACATCTTTTAGAGAAGCGCTGAACACACGTTTGGTTTGAGTCTTTGCTGAAAATGACAGCAATCACCTCGTTGTTTGGCAGATTTTGATTAATTTTGTGATACAAACATTATAATTTTCGAAAATTCTGTTCTATTGATTTTTTCCAGCATTTTACTATCCGAAATTTTGGAAATTTATTATTGGTGTGCTACTCTATATCTGTACCTCAGAGTTAAACTGTATTAAGTGACTTTTTTTTCGAAAATGGGTTTTTAGCTGAATACTACTTCTAATAACTTACTTGACCTCCGGAAAAAATTTCATACACCTAGCTTTAAAGACAACTGAAATACCCAGTTGGAACCTGTATGAAGTGACTCACCAGGCTTAAAGGTAAATTGTACTAGAATCACTTAGTGGCTTAGTATATTAAATTATAATATTGACTTAATACAATTTACCTCTGAGGTACAGATATGTTTATGCGTTTTTCATTTAAATTCGTGACCAAAATTTGCATACTGTTGTCAACAAAATTGGTAATAATTTTACTATTTAGACTGCGTAATTTGCAACCAAAAATGCTTCGACTCATACTCCAATCTATTATTGTTATGAACATAACTTCATTTTACTGAAAAGTGGTCTAAATGTGAAATTGAACAGAAATTTCATATGAATGGTATATGTCACCATTTTACCAAAAATTGATATTTCAGAAAAAGAAAACCTTTTTAAGGTTTAAAGTCAACCCCCAATTTCTGAACCTTGTGTTCAAAAATTCCAAAAAAAATATATGTTTTATGGTTATTGATATACTTTAATCCATAATTTTTTTGAGTTATATCGCAAAAACTGAAAAAAAAGTGGTTTTTCACCATTTATTTCAAAACGAATAGATGAAGTTTCCCGTTATTTTTATTACGAACTATTATTGCAATTCTACGCGACATATATTTTTTTCAAATTTTTTGAACTTGTAGTTTTCTCGCTACTGCAAGAATAGTTGGAAATACGCCTGTAGCTACACTGTTTAAAAAAAAATCCGACGGATGAACGTTCAAAATTATTTGTGTTGGTCCAAACTACAACCCTGTTTATGTAAAACAGAATAATACTTCGAATTTCCGCAAAAAAAAGAAAAAACTTTCCATCACACAATTTAATCAAATGCAGATTTCTATTTTCTTTGACTATCAAGTTAGGAAACACTATAGGGGCGACAGTACTGACATCTCGCGTTGCTGTAATAAACCATAGGCCTGACTTTAAACCTTAAAAACCATAAGAGGACTCTATCTAAGGTAGAGGCTACAATCATTCGAATTCTAACCTATTCAATTTGCTATCATATTGAAAAAAACGGAAAAAAAAATAGTTCATAGTTTGTTTGTTTAAAATAAATGTTACTTTACTTTTAAATAAACTAAATAGGTAAGTATTTGCAATAAAATAAATATTATTTAGCTCAAATATTTACTGTTCAAATAAAACAAATCATGTTTTTATTTCAAATAAGAATTTATTTCCTCCGGGATTTTGTATCAAAGAATAGTTAATTAAATGAAACAAAATGTTACTTGTCGCTTGTCGCGCGTAATCATAAACCTCTTATGGGTAGGACGAGCACGCCACATCAAGGACGCCATTTAAAGCAATAACTGAAAAGGCGCCATTTATAGAAAAATACAAAATGAATGCATTTTAGATTATTCACTACCTACTACCCTACTACTAATAAATACTAACTACTACCAAACTTACCTTCGAATATCGGCCATAAATGTTCCAAATTGCACATTTTAAGCCAAGTGGCTACGCCGGATATTTGCTCTTCCATCGTGCACCAAAAAAACAAAAGACTAAAAGAGTAACTTATTATAGTTCTAATTATTATCTGCGGGATATTTCACCGACTACCGATCAGAAAATACAAATACTGGCGTTTTGTGGGTATTTTGTGACTACTCGAGAGAGAAAAGACCACGAAAAGTCGAAAAAACATCGACTGATAAATGGCGACGTAAAGGGCAAAAGGTAGAGTACCACTAAAAATTTGAAAAAGCCAGTGAAGTCCAGACAAGTAGATACGAATCCCCACTACTCACACACAGCGTCCGCCCAAATAAAAATTTATTTCTTAAATTCAAACAAATATTAGAAAAATAACAAATAAGTCAGTTTGCTTGATGAAACTTCTGCTGATCATGTTGACAGTTTGCGATGCAAATTTTCTGAGTGTTTGTTTGGTCAGATCGCTCATAAATCTTACAGGGTCTTCGCCAAAAGCAAAATGTCATCATGATTATTCAAAGCTAATCACCTCTGTCAGAAAGCTATTGTTTGAAAATTGGTGCTTGGCTTGGATGATCTCAATATTTTAAATAGTTAATTAGTTGACCCGTAACGTTCTTGCTCCCATAATCCCTGACTTTCGAAAGTCCATGTCGCTGGCGCTGTAAAATGCTAATCAGTGAGTAATCTATAAACTGATTGGGTCAGGCAGGCAACGCGACATGTCCTGACCATGTAATTCTAATGATGTTGTGTATCGATAAAAAAATTAAAAATATTAAATTGTCGCGTTAATACTCTTTAAATCGGCTTTAATTAGAACGCTTTACGCGTTTGGGAATTATTTACATGACCGGCTCGTCGAGATTGGATCTCGTGAGGAACGCGATAGCGATCTGATAGAATGAGTTATCATTCGAATAAAACTGGTTGGTTCATATTATTGTGCGTGTGGGAATAAGCAAATACTTTTATGGGCACCGTTTATGTTTACGTTTAGTGTTTTTGGGTGTGTTCTCAAAGAAAATAAAATAGATTTCGAATAAGTTATATAGGAAAAGTGCAAATTGTGTATCTATCTGAGATCAGGTCAAGAGCAGTTTAGATTAGATTTAGTTGAAGACGAGTTTATTTATCAATACTTATTGAAGTGTATACTGTTGGAGATATCTCTCTTCAAAATGGAATTCGTTTTCATGAGGAATTGTCTTATAGCTGGGTTTGATGTAACTGAGATGATCAGTTTGTGTTAGTTGGGTTGCTGACAGTCATTACTCATTTGTTTGGTATACGTAGAAAAATGACGATTACTGAACCATTTTGGCGAGATTGAAGCTAAACTATTAAATTACCTAGAATATTTTCTCTTTTCAAGAAAGACTATTCTATTTGTTGGTTAAGTTCTGCTTCCATTTCAACTTTCAAACCTGCGGTGCTGCGTATTTTGGAAGATCCAGGAACTAAACTTAACTAATTAAATAAGAATTTTCTTTCCATGATTCCATGTTATCCACGTCTTGGAATCATATCGCCGGATTGAGGTTGAGAACGTCGGTTGTTTTCTTCTCGCAGTTTTCCATATCGAATTTGGCTATCACTGAGTCTCCATCACACAGAAAGTGATCGCCTGTCAGGCCCCCCTGGAAGAGCGTATGACTTGTGATCTGGAAAGATTTCGGATATCAAATCCAGAGTTTCCATCTATTGGTGAATAGAGAGACATACGACGTCAAATATCTCGAGGCTGGGGAATTATGTCATAAATCTTCCTGACAAAGTGGGTCGCGTCCTCAATGTGGGAATCACTTTTTTCTACATGAGGTTTACGTAGCAGTACAATTGGTTTTATTGGTACATCAATTTGCTGCTTCCCTGTCGTCTGGTTTGACTTACGTAGGCTCTCCATTTAGCTTTCAGTAAACCAAAGAATCAAGTAGTTCTTGAAATATTCGTTTGAAATTTTCATTTTGCAAAATAGTGACATTACGTTCATCAGCTTGTAGAAGTAAATATTGGTGCTTCCACTTGAAAAAATAAAGTTAGCTGACATAACTTGTTTATGGGTCACCCTGTATACATGATACCATCATCAAAGAAACGGCCACTAAAATCAAAAATCGACGCCGACGTTTCTGAGGTTTTTTGAAGAAGTTTAACCCTGTATATGTATTGTATGGCTTTTTTTCCAACCTTCACGTGCTCACTGTATAATATCCTCAACTGAGTTAAAATTTTACTGAGTTCAGGTTTTCAATTGCCAGTAGTTCTCTATTAGAAATGTAACGAGTCGAGCCTTTCGTAGAATGTTCACTGTCTCAATCCAGCTCATCCTCAGGTAGACACCTGATGGCTGCCACTGTACAGTGTGTCCCATATGACTTGGTAGTCCAACAAAAACATGGCTTTGTTAGAGGTAAATCAACAATTTCTAATCTGTGCACTCTTGGTGTGATTCATATACAATGATGCAGAAAAGGCATTTGATAAAGTTGATCATTATCCAATTATCCCCAGGAAACCAATATCTCACCACTTGCTACATTTTTTCTGCTAGCAAAACGGAAATGACCGGAATGAGGGTGGTTACGAGATTGGGCTTAAGAGAAGGAACTTAGTTTCTACCTTATAGGGCTGAGAATGCCAGCTAAACTCCAGTCGGTAGTGGTCGAGGGGTAAATCAGAAGAGAACTTCAGAAAATAGGAATAATTTTAGACGCCACCCGTTTTATGGCCCTTAAGTGAGGTAGAACGTTAGCTGAAAAGATCTAAAACGGGAAACAGGATTTCACCCAATTTGGAAATCAAACTCTGTTTTTAATAATAAAGGGGCATTTTATTTAAGTTTGCCGAGATTCACTGTACTTGATTTAAATATTTTCAGTATAATGTAATTATTATTATCAGATCGGTATTATTCAAATCAATTTAATTAAATTACCAGGTGAAATTGTTGAATACTTTCCAACTAAATAAAATGGAACCAAATAGGTACCAACGCAACGTCCTTTGCATATATGCTTCGGCTAACACGGTTGCAATATTTATAAGAGAAATTAATAACTAATTACTTAATTAAAGTAAAATATATATATAACTTATTACTTGATATAATTGATTAAGATTCAAATATAGATAATTTTATCGAATGTACTAGTGATTTGGCTTTTCAGGGAGTTTAGGTCGATTTCGCGTATGAACGAGGAGCTTTTCGAGCCTGGGATGGTTAAGGTAAATTAGAACAAACCCACCTGGATATCCTGGAGTTGGTAGCGTCGGGCTATTTAGCTACGAGAGATATCAGGAAGGTGAGAAGGCGTGAGCTCACGCGTAGTGGAATCGTCGGCGTCGTGATTGCGTCACCGGACCAGAAGTTACGGGACATGATGGGACATCGAAATCTCCCGAAATGGTATGTCAAACCAAACTTTGTCCAAACCATGGATTGGAAGTATTGAGGGAGAATTAATAATGGAAAAGAAAAAGGCCTAGAAAGAGAATTTGGAATGTAGCGGGTACTAATTCGAACGAATATCCGTCATTATAGAAAATTCCAGAATAAAAATGTACACTTACCAGTGATTTTAAGCGGCCATTTTGTGTGTAAATCTAGTAAAAAAAAAGAACTCGAGGAATTTTAGTTTTAAACCCGAAACTTCGAGTAAATCAGCAAAAAGAGTTGCTCGGGTGCTAAAATAGTTAAATTAGCCACCCACAATCAAAATTGGGCATAAATTCCAACGAAAATCGGCAAAACGCCTGAGAGTACAGTACCTCCAATAAAGCACACTGCAATCATCATCATCATCATCATCATCAACCAGCTCTCTGCGTCCACTGTTGAACATAGGCCTCCCTAATCATTTTATAGGTCTCCACTCAAGAAGCCTCTTCTCCCATCGATCATTCCGCATCCGTGCAACGTGGCCAGCCCAGTTCCACTTAAGCTTCGCAATAGCTGCAACGACATCGTTGACACCGGTTCTTTCGCGCAGATCCTCGTTTCTTATGTGGTCCTTCAAGGTCACACCAAGCATGGATCTCTCCATTTTCCTCTGTGTAACTCTGAGTTTCTTTGCTGTTGCTGTTGTTAGTGTTAGGGTTTCTGAGCCATATGTCATTACTGGTAGCACGCACTGATCAAAAACACTTCTTTTTAGATTGACGGGAATGTCACTCTTGAAAACGTCTTTAAGTCTTCCAAAAGCTGCCCATGAGAGAGTGAGTCTTCTCTTTAGTTCGCATGTCTGGTTATCCCTTGAGATGCTGACCTCATGGCGAAGGTACACTATCTACCATTTGAATTTCAGCTCCGTCAATCTTCAAGCCACAGCTGGGAACAAGGTTTGTCATGAATTTTGTTTTTGACATATTGATATTAAGACCGACTTTTCCACACACCTCTTGCAGGTCCTGCAACATCAGTCGCATTTCTTCTAGATCATCCGAGAATAGCACTATATCATCTGTAAAACGTAAGTTGTTTAGGTTCTTGCCATCTATGTTTATACCTCTCTGACTCCAGTCCAATTGCTTGAATGCACTCTCCAAGACTGTAATGAACAGTTTTGGTGACATCGTGTTGCCTTGCCGAACACCACGTTCAATAGTTATGAGGTTGGTATTTTCATGTAGTTTTACCGTCATTGTTGCATTTTTGTAGATATTGTGGATGAGTTTGGTATATCGGTAGTCGATTCTACATTCCTGAAGTGCATTCCACACTGCATTTAGCTCTATTGTGTCGAAGGCTTTGTGGAAGTCCACGAATGTCATTACTAAAGCTCTGTTGTATTCCATTGTCTTTTCTATGAGTGTTTTGACGCTTTGAAGGTGGTCATTCGTTCCAAATCCACGACGAAAACCTGCCTGTTCCACAGGTTGGTAGAAATCCAATTTATTTTCTAGTTGGGTAGTTATAATACGAATAAACAGTTTGTAAAGGTGACTTAAGAGGCTTATTGGTCGGTAGTTCTCTAGCTCTGCTATATCTCCTTTTTTGTGAAGCAGAATAACAATGGAATTATAACAATTTTTGGGGACTTTACTATTGAATAGACAGAGGTTAAAAAGCTCTTTTATTTTTAGCAGCAGATGTCGGCCTCCTATTTTTATTGCGTCTGCAACTATGTTGTCTTCCCCTGGCGCTTTATTATTTTTTGTTTTTTTTTAATGCTAATTCTATTTCCTCGATGGTAATATCAGGAAGCTCTTCTGATCCTTGGTTAACAATGCCTCTTCTCGATGTCAGGATTTCGGGCTCAGGATTTTCTTCGTCATATTGACTTTTGTAAAGGAGTTTATAGAATTCCTCCACTATATTTAATATTTCCTTTCTATTGGTCGTAAGTTCTCCATCTTTATTTCTCATTTTGCATATTTCTTTCCTTCCATTTGTAAGTTTTCTTTGGAGTACCTTCATGCTTTTGTTGTTCTCTTTGGTTTGTTCAATTTCTCTCACTTTGTATCTCCTTGTATCTCTTCTTATTGCTTTGGAGATTTGTCTGTTCATTTACCTGAACTCTTCCTCTGTGGTCGCTTCTTCACTTCTTTTGTTTCTTCTTTCTCGCATTAGTTCTTTAGTTTCTTCGCTTATCCTTTCGTCCTTTTTGGTTGCTGGGGAATGTTTATCTTGGCCTGTTGTCAGGGCCTTCACTATAGTATCGTTTAAGGTGTTTATCTTTTCCTCTTCATTCATGTTTATTCTATTTCAGGTTCTTTTAATAGGTCGCAAATGCATTGCTGGAATTTATAACTATCAATCGGCGGATGCCAAGGTTTTTTATTTGACGCATTGACCATTTTGTGTCGCTCCCTTTTTAAATTGAGATGGACTTTTGCACTTACCATACGGTGGTCACTGCCAGTGATAAATTTATTCAGTACTGATACATCCTTGATGATATGTTTCTTGTCGGTCACTATAAAGTCGATCTCATTTTTTGTCAGACCGTTTGGGCTTTTCCAAGTCCACCTCCGCTTGGATTTTTTGTAAAAGAAACTGTTCATGAGGAATAGGTTGTTTTGTAGCAGAAACCCCAGAAGAGTCTCGTCGCGATCGTTTCTGACCTCCGAACCAAAGCATCCAAGCGATATCTCAGAAACATCCGCTTTTAGACCCACTTTAGCATTAAAGTCACCACACAGAATTGTGAAATGAGTTTTCCGGTCCTCCCAAGCTAGGCTCACATCCTCATAAAAGAGGTCTATGTCCTCGTCGGTGTGGGTGCTAGTTGGCGCATATACTTGGATGATTTTCAGACTATGTCTTCTATTCAACCTAATAATTACATAAATGACTCTAGTTGACATTTTCTTGAATGACTCGATATAGGGGTCGTGACGTTTGTGGATAAGAAAACCAGTGCCGCGCCGATGGAACCGTCTTCCTTTTCCGCGTAGTAAAAGGTATGTCCTGAGTTTAGCTTCAATAGCTGTTCTCCATTCCGTCTGACTTCACAGAGACCTACGATGTCCCAGTTGATATACCTAAGCTCTGCCTCCAATTCGACCAACCGTTCCTCCGAGAGCAAAGATCGCGCATGTATGTTGCAATGTGCAGCATCTGATAATCGGATATTTTTTTCGACACTGCGCAAAGGAGGGCTACAGTACTAACTGCCCGAGGAATGAACATCGTAGTACTCACATTTTTTCTTTCTGTAATACAATTAGTTAGGTACCTTAAAGGTGTTTTTAGCCTGATCGCACGGACTGGTATTTTTGGTTTATTTATAGGATTGAAAACATAATTTTAAATAGCATTTGAACATTTCATTAGAATTATAATATATTTCTTTAGGACAATTAAACTAGATATTTCCTGGGAAAATAGACCCGTAACAACGCCTCCCCTTCCTAGAAAGAAGTTTCAACGAAACTTGAAACAAAAGAGAAAAAAAAAACATCTCAGATTATCCTCATCTTAGACTACCTACTACAATTTTTTTTATATTATTATTAATGCAACTTACAACTAAGTGGTATACAAACTACCAAACTAAGAGTAATCAATGGGAGAGTCCTGAGGGTGACTCTTAAGATCTTTTGCATGCCAGGTTCCGCATTTTCGGCCAGAAAAGTCGGAAAGCTCGTACGACCAGGGTGACAGAACTTTGGAAACCAAAAACGGACCAGAGAATTTCGGCGCAAGCTTTGATGTAAAATTATTTGCAGCACTGGAGATACCATGATTTTTCCGCCAAACCTGCTGGTTCAATTGAAATCTCTCATCGCGATGTCTGAGATTATACCTGCAACGACTCCGGTCAAAATACTGTTTGAGACGCTTCTGTACGTCTACGAAAACTTTTTCCAAAACTCGTGCACGATCCACTGGATTGTATGTATCTAAGTCATTATTCGAACTTGATGTATTCGAGGAAGGAATGAACCTAGGTTCACGACCAAAAACAACAAAATTTGGTGTAAATCCAGTAACCTCGTGATTTGCTGAACGCATCGCACAACCAGCTTTCGACAGAAAGGTGTCCCAGAGTTTATGATTATTCTGCGTAGCCCGAGATAATAGTTTTTAGGACTCGATGAACTCGCTCAACCAGATTCGCTTGCGGATGATAGTGGGCGGTGAAGCGGAGGGAAATACCGTAGCTATGAAGAACGTCTTGGAAGTGTTTATTGCGGAATTGTGGCCCGTTATCTGCAATCAATTTTTCAGAAATTCCATATATGAGAATGACATGGTCCTCCAACCATCGTAAGATGCCTTTAGTGGTTGCAGAACGCAACGGGAAAAACAAGGGATATTTGCTAAAAACATCGTATATACCAACAGGACATATGAATAACCGGAGTTAGATCGTGGAAGGGGACCGACAAGATCGATACTCACGACCTGCCAAGGCCTCGTAGCGGTTGGTTGCTGACAACATTTGCCCTGCGGATGCCTTTTGTAGGGGCTTGGTTTTAAGACAAACCTGGCAACGATTGATGTACCTACCTAGAAACATCCGATTTCATCTTTGGCCAATAATGTTAAAGATACCCAGATGACCACAAGTAGGCGAGGAATGACGCGCGACCAAGAATCACCATTCCCTAAACCAGGATTTGGCACGTTTGAACAGTTTTGCGCCATCCAATCGCCAATTTGGATATTTAGACGGCCGATCTCTGATATTGGTGATAGAGTATCAGGCACGACATTATCTTTACCTTTACGGTGTATGATTTCAAAATTATACTGTTGTAGCCTGACTGCCCATCTGGCTACTCGACCCACAGGATCTTTTATTGAATTTAGCCATTTAAGACTATAATGATCGGTGATGACCGTAAAATGGGTGCCCTCTTCGCAGCTATTCAATCGCAAAAAGGACTGCCAGGCACTCTTTTTCAGTAGTGCTATATTTCCTTTCATTCTTGGTAAGTGACCGACTTAGATAACAAATAACCTGTGCATGCTCAGACTGAACCTGAGTGAGAACGGCACCGACGCCGAAGTCGGAGGCATCACACTGAATGACGAACGGCCTATCAAAATCAGGGCATGACAGAATAGGAGCCTTAATGAGGTGTTCCTTGACAGAATTAAATGCCTGATCACAACTGCTATCCCAAATAAATTTCACATTTTTGCGAGTTGAAGAAGTCAAAGGTGCCACCAAAGACGAAAAATTGGGCACAAACCGGCGATACCATGAGGCAAGACCGATTACTCGACGAACCTCACTGACATTTTTAGGTGAAGGGATACTCATAATCGCTTCAATTTTCTCAGGATCAACTGATAATCCAGACGAGTTGACGACATACCCAAGATATTTTAGTTCGAATTTACAGAAGTGGCACTTCTCAGGGTTCAGGCTCAACCCAGCTTTTGTAATCTGGCTGACAACCTCTTTGAGAATTTTAAGATGATCTTTGAAAGTTGGGGTGCAAATAATGACATCGTTTAGATAAACAAGCACAAACTGTTCCAGATCGACACCAACGACCTGATCTATCAGTCTCTGCCAAACAGCAGGGGCATTAGTCAGCCCAAAAGGCATTCTTTTGAACTGGCAGAGGCCTCTAGAGGGAACAGTGAAAGCTATTAAAAGTCTAGACTCCTCGGATACTGGTATCTGCCAATAAGCCGATTTAATATCTAATGCGCTAAGATACCTAGCGTCCCGTAGTTTGTCCAAGGTAGCGGATACGAATGGGATCGGATAACTATCCTCAACCGTAACACAGTTCAAAATGCGATAGTCCACGCAAAACCTCCAGCCCCCGTTACTCTTCCTGACCATAACTATAGGAGAAGACCACAGAGAATCCGAGGGTTCGATGATATCGTCTCTGAGCATTTGTTCCAGCTCGCTATCAACTTCCCTTTGAAGAGCACGTGAAAGAGGATAGTATCTTTGTTTTATAGGGTCGGAATTTGTTTTTATTTTCAGTTGAACTAAATGAGGTTGCACCCCTCATTTATTACCCATTGACGAAAATATCTCGTGAATTAGAGAATCGAGTACTCCCTTTTGATCAAGAGTAAGAGATTCGGTAGCCTGAATGGCTGTAATTTGTGTCGCCTTAAGTTGATCTATTGTAAAGACCACTCACCCGCATTCAGATCTGGAACAATTTGTGTTTGTTTATCTAGATGATGTCATTATTTGCACCCCAACCTTCGAAGATCATCTTAAAATTCTCAAAAAGGTTGTCAGCCGGATTACAAAAGCTGGGTTGAGCCTGAACCCTGAGAAGTGCCACGTCTGTAAGTCCGAACTAAAATATCTTGGGTATTTCGTCAACTCGTCTGGATTATCAGTTGATCCTGAGAAAATTGAAGCGATTATGGGTATCGCTTCACCTAAAAATGTCAGCGAGGTTCGTCGAGTAATCGGTCTTGCCTCATGGTATCGCCGGTTTGTGCCCAATTTTTCGTCTTTGGTGGCACCTTTGACTTCTTCAACTCGCAAAAATGTGAAATTTATTTGGGATAGCAGTTGTGATCAGGCATTTAATTCTGTCAAGGAACACCTCATTAAGGCTCCTATTCTGCCATGCCCTGATTTTGATAGGCCGTTCGTCATTCGGTGTGATGCCTCCGACTTCGGCGTCGGTGCCGTTCTCACTCAGGTTCAGTCTGAGCATGAGCATGTTAATTGGTATCTAAGTCGGTCACTTACCAAGAATGAAACGAAAAGAGGGCACCCATTTTACGGTCATCACCGATCATTATAGTCTTAAATGGCTAAATTCAATAAAAGATCCTGTGGGTCGAATAGCCAGATGGGTAGTGAGGCTACAACAGTATGATTTTGAAATCATACACCGTGAAGGTAAAGATAATGTCGTGCCTGATACTCTATCACGTTCAGTATCGGATTCAGCGGTGTCTTCCAATGATAATGTCTCTCCTTCTTCACCCACGAATGATCCTTGGTACGAGCGCATGATCACCAATATCAGAGATCGGCCGTCTAAATATCCAAATTGACCTGTCTCGCATAAATAGAAAAAGATAGCTTAATTGTGATAAATACAAGTTGGAAAGTAATGGAAGACGACATGCGCGCGCAACTAGTGGGTTGCAGTGTAGCCAGTTTGTATTTTAGCAGAACAAATCTAGACAATACAAGTCGAACATTATACCAATAAAAAGAGATTTTTCACAGCGTGTTTTACAACGCTTTAAATCAGACAAAAGAAGAGCTTTAACGTGTATTTTAACATCGTTTGCACTTTCAT